TGGTGAGCTTGATCAGTGTTGAAGGGTCACATCAGCATCATCACTATTCTATTCCAGGAACAGCTGACATTAGACATCTCATTCAAGCTCCACCACAGTCAGGGAAGAAAGGAAAGTTATCTCCATTTTTCAGACGTGGAAACATGAGGATGGAAAGGTGAACTAACTTATCCAGGGCCCCCCAGCCATTAAGTGATAAAGCCAGGATTCAAACCCAGGTCTGAGCCCAAGGTGTGCTCACAACACTTGTGCCTCTATGAAGTACCTTTGAAGGGAAGGGGATTCAGTCACCCTTTTCCCATTTCTGTGTTTCCTCTGGAGGCCCTGACCAGCTATGGGTTGTAGTCTGGGCTCTGCCACCAACATGCTGTGTGACTTCAGGCAAATCATTTTCCCTCTCTCAATGTTCCGTTCTGGAAATAGGCCCTGTGCAGGCCATTCCAACGTCCCCTATTTTAGGGCTTCAACAGTTCTCTGTTAAGTACCTTCTTACCGCCTGTCTTACACAAAAGACTGGCAGCTGACTCGGGTGCAATAGGAACACAGTCAATGTTGATGAGTATATACAATAGTAAGAGCTACTCCTTCTTGAGTACCTGGGGTGTGTCAGTTCTGTGTTAAAGGTTACCTCACCCAATCCTTGTTACGAAACCCAAGAAGTGAGTGCTCTAGTTATTGTCATCTCACAGAAGAGTACGCCAGTGATGTAGGATATTTCTTGTGTCACAATCATAGTCTCGTGAAGCCGAAGAATGGAGACATGGACCAGAGCGGTAAAGTTTACAGCAGAGGATAGTTTTGTTAGAGCAGAAAGTAACAGCTCTCAAAGTGAGAGGGGGTCCTGACTGGGGTGCCCCACAAATCTCTCTAGGTAACATCTAGTTCAGCCTTCTACTATGTTTTTTCATTCCACAAAGGCTGAGCGTTAAAACTATATTTCCTAGACACACCTACATGTAGGGTTCTGGATGTGATTTAGATTTGCCATACAACATTTTAATACAGAAATAAATTAAGAGAGGAAAGAAAGTGGGCATTTTGTTTATGACATTACAATAGAAGTGGCAGGGCTCTGGGGCTCACAGCTATAGAGGCATTTTTCTGGTTCAACCAGAAGCAATTTCTTGATCATCATGAAAAAGGAACTCAATTAGCAGCCTATTTCTGTGGCATACTTTTGAAACTCCTTCCTAAAAGCTACCTATAGCCAATCTTTCAATACTCCCAAAGATACATTTAATACGTTCATAAGAATTCCTTCCTTCTTAAATTAGTAATTAGTAGGTTCTTATATCTATAACTGAACTTTGACCAATATACCACCACACCCCAATTCACACAGGAAGTGGCCATGTATCCACTGTCCAACCAGGAAGGGTAAGGCTTACTTCTTAAAGAAAATAAACCACAGAGGCTCTAGACTCTAGAGGAAAGGCATCATACCAAAAACCTAAGGATTATGTGAACACTTATATATTGAATAGTGAGATGTCCAATCCCTTTTTGTTGTTTAGCCTCTTGAATGCTGGCATGCACCTTCATGAAAGAGGTGGAAAAATTAAAAATAAAAGACTCGGACTGGCTATAGCTCAGCAGTTCCTTCTTTCCAAATATAAAAGACTCATAGAACTGGCATTTGGGGCTCCACAAAAAATCTCCTTGGTTCTAATTCAATCATTCCACAGTACATTTCCTACTCAAAAAGTATAAAAAATTTGTTAACTAAATTTTTTTATAATTTCCCTTTTATTCTTTCATGTATCAAAATGAGGTAAACTAATGACACTGATGGATTCCTTATTTAAACAAAGATTTTGAGTCTCACTAAAATTAAAAATACATAAAAACAAAGCAAACAAAAAAATTGGACAAGTGGTAACTCTAGGAATGACAAAAAGATATATAAGGAAATGTAATTAATACTCATTTCTTGGCTAATAGTAATGATATAACAACAATCAGAACAAAGTAAGCAGTGAAAAAACTGAGCTAGCCAAAAACTGTGATATATCTATATTCAGAGAAAAAGAAAAGAAGTGGCAGTGGTGGCGAAGAGTACTAAACCTCATCTTTCATTAATATCAGCTTGATAAAAATTGAAAAATTACCAAACAGCAGCTATTCAGGGCAGTCTACCTTCCACACTGTCCCTGAAACACTGATTATTCCTTTTCCCTACAGGTAAGCATTTTTATTAATTTTGGATTATTCTTATATTCTTTAAAAATATATGCG